AATCGTCTCCTTTTTGAAGTCAGTAGAAAACAAATATCATTAAAAAAAAACATATTGTAGTACTATTATTTATTCTGTGACTGTATGTTTTTTTATGTGTGTTACCTTATAACTTTCTTCCGGGTGAACCGATTTTGATGATTTTTTTTAATTTGAAAGCTGGTGCTTCTCATGTGGTCCCATATAAATTTGATCAAGGTCTGACCAATAGTTTATGAGTTATTCTTAATAATTTATATTGAAGTTGGTTGTACAACATTTTTAATTATTAAGGAAGATGGTTACACCGAGATCTTTCTGACATTTCATATTGATATATTACAAACGGATTTAAGCACTGATATTTTATCTGTGTTTTTATGTTTTATCAGTAATCATCTAAGGTAATCATCTTTCGTTTCTACTATTAGAGTAGTAACATACATATTATATTTCTACTTTAGTAGAATCTAGAAATAATATTAAAATAATTTTAATTTACCTTGGTAGGTAATATAAGTTACTAAGAGGTAATATAAGTTACTAAGATAGCTCAGTAATTTTAAATTTAACAATACCTCATTATGTAATTATAGTATTGATGACGTATAATATATGCATAATTCATAATCATATACAACTTTTAAACGAATCATTTAATCATTTTAGTTACTCCGATTACAATATTAAACAAGAAGCATGTTTACAAGTCAATTTCTTTTTCCAGGGTACATACTTCATTATCAGTACTTTAGACTTTCCTCTTTCTAGAACAAGGGGTTAGCAAAACTATGACATCACACATCGGTTCCCTTAGAGTTCAACAGTTTGATAGTTTGTTTGAAGTCTATATTACGGATTTCCTGGTATACAACCACCTGCAGGTCTAGTGTGTAACTCTCTCGGAATCATGAATAACTTGATTTTTACGATTGATGGAGAAACTGGTTGATGAATTTTTGCGTGTTGCGTAAATTAATTTTTATGAAACGATGTCGATTCCTAAAGCCGAGTGAATTATTTCTAAAGAATAGGAAAGACACGATAATTCTCGAATCTGGGGCAACGTGTTCTATCTCCGAGATGGCGATCATTTGTCCCAAGGTGGTGTCGGATTTATCGTCCACAAGTCTCGTTAACAACGTGGCCAACATCGGGAGTGTGTCGACAAGGGTTGCGTACTTTTTGCTCAGAATACAGAATATATACAAGAATACAAGTTTACGCACCAACCTCAGCATATACCGAGGAGTTGCATGAGATGTAAGCATGGCTCTAGATTTAGCGATATTCTCCCTCTTCAAAGAGCCGTGGTACCTCAGATGGTTAGCGCTCGCTGTAAGCTTTACAGTACTCGAGCAATCCGGGTTCGATCCCCGCCGGCACCAATGAAATTGTTAATTGCAATTTTAAGTGCTGATTTACCACGTGCTCTTCGGTGAAGAAAACATCGTGAGGAAACCTGCATGTCTGAGAAATAAGAAAAAAAAATATTTCGAAGACATGTGAAGTTCGCCAACACGCGTTGGGGCAGCGTGGCGGACCATTCCTTGCCCTAAAACCCTCTCAGAAATGAGAAAAGGCCTGTGCCCAGCAGTGGGACGTAAATAGGCTGCAACTTTACTTACTACTTTTTCTCTCTCTTCAAAACCGTGTAGATGGATGATTTCAATTCAAAACTAGGCACAAGAAAGTACTGTGAGCTGAAAGTACGGAAACTTGGAATAGGACAACGAAACCAAAGGTGTCAACAGCTGACAAATCTTCTTGGAGCAGGAGGGACTCTGTATGATGAACTCTTTCTTTCAGAAGCAGCAACACAGTAATGGACCTAGTCCAGCATCGACGATTCAACAAAAAATGAGATTGACTTCATTATGATCACTTGTTCACACAACTGTTCATTGACCTCTCCGTGATCGTGAGGTTGGGAACTGGTAGCGTATAAAGAATAGTACACTGGACCTTAATGTTAAGTTGGATAAGTCATGTCTATGAAGTTAACGCTCCGACGCCCTCGTGATTTAATCCAAGGCCCCGAAAACAGCTCGTGGAAAGTATGCGGTTGGAGTTAAGTTTTGAAAGACCCATCGGAGGAGAACCCAAAAACTCTCCGATCGCACTCAGTATGCAGTCTTCAACAGATATAACAGCGTACAGGCAACAGAACAGTCTTGCACATCAACATGAAAACCGTGTTGGGCATATTAAATATTGTAATTTTTCACCCAAAACGTTACGCTCCGAACAAATATTAGAATACCACCTATGTGAGGGTTTTAGTTTATTAAGTTGGCTAACTTACCAAGCTACAGTGATAAATTTTCTACGTGGTAAAGCCATGCTGCAGCTATATTATGGTGGTAGCACGAATGGGTCGGCTCGACCGGGGAAGGACCACGCTCTCACAGAAAACCAGCGTAAAATAGCAGCTTAACGCTGCTGTATTTCGTATGGTGAGTGTAGAGAACCGGAGACCCTTTTTACTGGTAAAGAGGCATTCCATCTTAGTCCTCACGGGTGACAACGCATCTGCATCTTGAGTCTTTATTGAGGATAGATGTAGATGTCTATGGGTCACAGTAACCACTTACCATCAGGTGGACTGCGTGATCGTTTGTCACCCGATCCTATAAAAAAAACATACTCTTGAATTTTTGGTTAATAAGTTTAAGCCCTACATTTGTATGTAAAGTTATAAAACCGATAATTTGCCATTAATTATAAGGATTATTTTAAACCTTACTGAATAAAGGCGTTTAGTACTAAAGCTTTAATTTTTGTAAAAGCCTGTATGTATGCTGTGGCCCACGTATATTATTCAAAAATTTATTCAGATTTTTGTATTCTTCAAAAATTAACTTTCTGTCATGTTAGGAACAACTTTAAATTTTTGAAAAACTAATCAATAGTTATCAGCAGTTGTATATGTTAATTTAATCCTATATTGTGGAGGCGCTTCATATATTGTATAAATCGAACATTTTAGACCATACAAAAGCTTTGCCGTGTGAGATACGAACCTGCGGCGAAGTCAAACAGTTAACAACCATGCTAACGAATCGTCATGGGTATATCCAGACCTCCGTGATATATTCACTAAGTTTACTACTAGAATTTTTATGCAATATATTTACTAAGCTTACTACTAGAATTTTTGGCTATAGTTTTTGCAGTTCATACGAGGGCGACAATGAAAGTTTTTAGAACTGGCCACTTGTAAACGATTTCATAAAAACATAAGTTAACATTTTGAAAATGGAACTCTTGCTTACGACATTTGTTTACGATTTGGCGGCAAATTGAAAATTGTCTGTGTCACGTCAGCATGAATTTAACGCGAGAAAATTTTCGTGCAATGATTTTTTATGACTTTCGATGTCAGTCAACTAGAAAGTTTGATAGACTTCGATTGGCCTTTACGATGAAGCCCCATCTCGTGCCACTGTTTACAACTGGTTTAATGAGTTTAAACGTGGTCGCACTAATCTCACCGATAATTTGCGTGTGTGGACGGCCTTCTATGGCGGCGACTGAAGATAACATTAGTGTTGTGCGGCGTATGATAGAGACTGACAAAAGAGTGACTTCTCAGCAGATAATTCGGACAAGCTTAGGCATCGGTATGAGTCAAGTGCACAAAATCCTCCATGAAGATTTAGCGGTCAGGAAGCTTTGTGCCCGGTGGATACCTCATAATTTGACAGAGGCCCAAAAACTCCGTCGTATTGATTGGTGTCATGAAAGACAAAAAGATTTAACGGAGGTGACTCAAATGCTGTGCGACATACCTACGGGTGACAAAAGCTGGATTTCTTGTTATGATCCTGAAACTAAGACACAGTCTTCTGTCTGTGTTTCCTTCCGAGGAGTTGCCAACTAAAGTGAAGAGAGGTCGAAGCGTGGGATAAAGATGGTAGCCTCGTTCTTCGGAAGGCAACGCAACAATTGTTTTAGAGGGTCAAAAAACTGTTACTGCAGAGTGGTACACTAACAATTGTTTGCCACTTGTCTTGGAAAAAGTTCGGGAGAAACGACTTCGCAGTAGGATCCTCATTCACCACGATAACGCCTCGTCGTTGGTAACGTCAGACGTGGAATTACTGGGTCACCCGCCCTGTAGACCTGACCTCGCGCCTTGCGATTTTTATTTATTTCCGTAAATAAAAGAAAAACTTCGAGGAAAACGTTTTATGGACGCCGAGACGCAGTGGATGCGTTTCAAAATGCCGTCGAAGAGATCCCTAAGGGGACGAATGGGCGAAGTGCTTTTCTCAGTGGTTCCATCGGATGCAGCGATGTTTTGATATAAATTGACACTATTTTGAAAAGATATAATAAAACTAATATCTTGCTAGTTTGTACAGTTTTTGATTTTCTAAGAACTTTCAGTGTCACCCTCGTAATATGTTACATCAGTTTGATTTTATTTTGTATTTAAAATCTAGAGCAAAGAACTACATACTAATAATTTTAATAGATTTTATGTTTTTACTCGGTGGAGGGACTCTTTCTGCGTAGGTCTATCGGGGTATGTATCTGCTTCTCACCCATTTCTGCCGATAAATACATATCAGTGCGTCAGCAGAGAGCCAGTATAATTACACACTGGAAGACATTCCATCTTAGTCCTCAGAGGTGACTACGCATCTGTCTTCTTTGTTTGAAGTTGTTTGCAGGTGTGCACGTTTTGTAGTAGCGACTTCCATCAGGTGAACTGTAATTTCATTAGTCACTTCAGTTTTATAAAAAATAAATTAATTTCGCAAAGGGAATTAAATAAATTTTAGAGTTTCCAAATATGACACAAACCGCCACAAATTCTGATTTATTATTTAGTATAATGTACCTATTGATATTGATTTATAAAAAAAACTGCAAGGCAGTATGTGCTATGCCCAATTTTAGCTAACAAATGGACTTCTTATGTGATCCATCTATAGATTTAAATTATTTGTGTTTCTGTGCAATCTTACACTTTTTTGAAATGTAAACTAAGTATTGCATTTTTTTTCAAACAGGTGGTATGCCAGTAGTGACATCGGCCACAATGATGCCAGCAATGATGCCACCGGTGTTAGATGAGGGGCTTCGACATTACCTAGTAGCACACCCTCACGCGCAACATCCGCACCATGCGCCTCATCACCAGCCTCCACATCACCAGCCACCGCCGCACCACCAGCCACCGCACCATCAACCACCACACCATTATGTAAGTTTATTTTTGTTATTATCTATTATTTATTTACACATAAAAATGAAAATAATGCAGCTTGCCCAGGACCGTACTTGAGGACAGGCCTATGTTCAGTGGTGAATGAAGTTATGAGGAGTAATTTTATAAAGAAATAAGGAAGTGAAATGTAGTGTGTATTCATAAGCAAAACGTATTTGCTAGGTAGGTTGGTACATAATTTCTATGATAATTTCGAATTAACATTTTTGGCCGTCGTGCTACACACGAACTAAGCCCAATTCTTCTGTATTTTTCAGTAATAAAATAAATTATGTGGAGGTGCTGGCTACGAAAAAAGCTGCATTTGACTAGGTCTGTACAATAACATAAATAACATAGCTATAAGGCTAATAATATAATTAGTATCACAGCGAATTAATGATTATAGTTAAATATACGCTCCACAGATATATTCAGCTTGTGGAGCGGCCAGCACCCGGCGTGGTACTCGTCCGTAAAGCGTTACGGAGTTATTCTATACTTCGGAAACTTTGATAGCGTGATTTAGCGTCGTTAGCGCAGTTAGTAGCTTATATGAACAGAAAGCCTTTCTCCAGTGCTGTGATATACGTCGTAAGCTAGGTTGGTTCATAGGAACAAGAGACTGCAGACTATGTTTGCTCGGGAGTGAATGGAAGAAGACTTTTTAGGACGATGACGAAAGCTTGAAGTTGCAGTTTCGGTCTTCTGCAATCTTTTGCAGGTTGCATTCATATAACGTCGGAGCCACCAATTTGGCCACGGAAAGATAAAGGGAGATCTCGCGTCAGGCTAGGTGTTTTTTTTTTCTGAATGTGTATACTGTTGGCCCTGCGGCCTTGACAGCTTCGTCTAATTAGGTTCGTAAGTGAGTACTTACGAACTATTGAGTGCAACGATACTGCCGTCGGCGACGCGGCGCGAAGCGCCGCTTCGCCGACTGCAGTCCCTAGGCATCCCGACCCCTGCTTTCGGAGTGAGGCTCCTCGAGCTAGGTGGGGGGGGGGGCTCGATGCGATTCAAGGGCCCCTCAGATCAGATCAGAATCAGAAGGAGGTACGAACCTCGGCTTGAATCGCTATCGCAATTTTATTAACGAGTCGCAAAAGTTAGAAACGCCCCGTTTCCCGGATGTTAAACCTCGTGTACGGAGTGTGTCTGTGACGTCGCATTCGCCGGCGATTGCGGTGTGCCCTAGTGTTCTGTACTAGAGTAGTGTCTGAGTGTGTATAAGTGTTTATATTTACTAATCTAGTTCCCTCACCTGTGGAGGGGGGGGGGGGGGGCGGGATCGACCTATTCATGGAAGTGATCTCGTCATCGGGATCAAGAAGAACGTTCTTGGGACGTCTCCTGCGGGGGGCAACATCCCTCAGCGGGGAGTACGAGCCCGCCTCATTCACCAACGAATTTTCGTGTTCCTTTATCGACTCGAAGTATCTTAAGAATAGTTCCTTAAGATACGTATGTATTGTGGGCATATCGAGGTCGCGGTGAAGATCCGCGTTCCTCACATAGTAGGGAGCTCCTGTGATCTGACGCAGGAATTTGTTCTGAACAACTTGAAGTTGTTTTAGGCTCGTTTTATTGGCGTGCGCAAAGGACACACCCGCGTATGTCATAATAGGACGTACACAGGTTTTGTAAAGATGCAGTTTGTGTCTTAGGGACAGCTTACTGCGTTTGTTGGTTAAGGCAAAAAGACGATAATATACAACGAATTTTGCCTTGTTTCTAACTGTTTTAATGTGCTGAGAGAGGCTCATTGCACAATCTAAAGTCATCCCTAGGTATTTTACCTCTGGGACCCATGGTATTGGGCTGCCGTATAGGGAGATCGTACCTATTTTGTATTTTTTAATCTGAGCCAGTAATTTGTTATAATAACATCTTCTGTTGAAAAAGATGGCTTTGCTCTTATCGGGATTCAGTTCGATTATCCATTTTCTGCACCAATCGCCTAGTGCGTTTGCTGCAGCTTGGAGTCGACTACAGATTATAATGGGATGGGTGTCTGAGGAGTAGATGGTAGTATCATCCGCGTATAGTGCGAGATGAGTACCTATTACCGAAGGGATGTCACTTGTGTAAAGTGAGTACAGGGTCGGGGAGAGCACCGAGGTCAGGGGAACTCCTGCCCTGATTGGTCTGGAAGAGGAGAATGTACCCTCCACGCGAAAACGAAAAGATCTATTTGCAAGAAAATCTTAAACGATTTTGACAAGTCTTAAGGGCACCCCTGTATGGATAAGTTTGAAAACTAGTCCGTTGTGCCAGACTTTGTCGAAGGCCTTGGCCACATCGAAGAACAGTGCTCCTGTGTAAACAGGGCGTCTGTTCGCCTTTGCAGCCTGATCTAAAATGTGCTCCGTGAGGCGGTGCACCTGTTGAACACCTAGGTGTTTAGTATCAAGCTATTCTTTATATACCGGAATACTTTAGAAACTTCGATAGTGTGATTTAGGTTTTGTTTCGTTTCGCTTGCGGCGCCACGAGAATGCCATGCAAACGTTATTCATAATATTATGCTGATGAAAATCTGTCTTAAAAATATTTTAATGTATAAAATGTTTGTGGCTTTCGTTATAATCAATGAGTATCTTACAACTATAGTTACATTCTTTGGTCATTTCACACCATAGATTTAGTATATACTTATATCACGCAATGCTGTAACTTGGGTTACCAACTTCTTATAATAAAATAAAGAAACATGTAAATATTATTCATTTTCTATAATCTTGTAGATAGATTAGGTACGTACGTCTGTGTTTGATTTTCTTCTTCTCGTAGACATTGTGAAAATTGCGAAATTATAAAAGATAAAAAGCCTAGTGAATATGAAGTGTTTGGTGTTTGGTAAAATGTTTTACACTTTATTTTGCCCTTTGATAACATTCTAGTAATTTATTAAATTACTCTTTATTTGCTTTGAGTTATATTTATTGGGTTATTGTTCTGAGACTTAATTAGTACTTACTTAATGTCATTAGGTATCGATATTAATCAAAAAGTACTTTAAAAAAAACATACAGTCGAATTGAGTACCGTCTCCTTTTTGGAAGTCAGCAGGAAACAACTAAAATGTAATTTTCGAGTTAAAATATCTTTACTGTCCAAATAATATTAAAATCTACAAAGTGGAACGATAATGAGCGTATCACATGTTTTTAAACCAATGTCCATTCAATATCTGTACCTGTGCAAACAATTTCCGTCGATTTATCGATTGTCTCGCTTGTAAATAAACATAATTTTTACTTGGAATGGAATTGGAATCTTACAACTGTGTAACTAAGTAAAATGAAAATTGAAATACGTATTACGTAATTTTAACTTATATTGTGCTGTGTATTATAGCATGATGTTCGTAGTAATAAATCGGTTGTGTGATTAGCGAATGCGAGTGTTATCGGTTATCGCTAGCGAAGTGGCGAACGAATTGGTTGTTGGTAGTGAGTGGTACGTTCCTACGTGGCGTTGAATTTTGTTGACGTTTAACGTTTTTGTGATGACGTTTTTGTTTGTTGTTGAAAAGCTAAATACCTACCGTATTTCTTGTACTCGTGGTTATTAATACACTTTCAGTATATATTATGGTTAATTCGGATAGACCAAAAAATAATTCATCTGCAAATGATACAGATAAGGTCAGTATAGACAAAAATATTTTTATTTGTAGGTAGGTAATACCTATTTTAACTTTAATTATTTTCCCTTTAACTTTTATTAAAAAAATTCAAGTACCTATATTTTAAAATACATGATTCATAGTAAATTTCTCATCTTATATGTATGTAAATATAAATGCAAATGAAAAAAAAAATTAAGCATGTGAAATCTTACAAAAATAATAGAATGCAATCATGTTTACTTGCATAGTTGAACAAGTAGAGGTAGTTAGTTACTTTATATTTTTTGTCTTATTGGTATGATAAAACAATGTTTATTTCATTAAAGATGGATTTCAATTGTTGGAGTTTTAGAATACAATTAAATATAAAAAACACATTACCTAACTTTAATAATTGTTAGATACATGTAGTATCAAATACTAGTTAATATTTGTATAGAAATTAAGATTAAGATTTGCTATTTAAATAAAAAATATATTACTTTTTTTTAAATTGTATTACTTGAAATTATATAAGTATGATTTTATACAAAAAGGCTGACAAACAAGCACACAGTCCACTTAATGATAAGTGGATGCTGTAACTGACATCAACCTAAGATTCAAAATGCAGATGTATTGTCTCCCTTGAGGACTAAGATGGTATGCCTGGTTACTAATAAAAAGGTTCTCCAGTTTCTGTCATTCACATTATGCTACTATTTATTTTATGCTAGCATGTTATGTGGGCATGGTCATGGTCTAATTGAGTTGACCCATTCATGTTGCATTCATAATATAGCTGAAGCGTGTTACTTACAGGGACCACCAACAAATGGTGCGGGCGGCCCACAACATTTCTATGGTGCTGGCTACCCAACACATTTCCATCATGTACCTCCTCATCACATGCAACATTCTCCACCACCACCAGTTTACCAAAAGGATGAAAGAACTCAACGCCAATATTCTAAACTTAAACAAAAATTGGAGCGGAAACAACATACAAATAGAAATAATGGTGTAGGTAAGTGTCTTCTAAATAATATTTTACATTTTCTCTGAGTATAATGCAACTAAAAAGGGGTTTTATTTATTATATACCATAGGTTCAGCAGTGGGCTTTTGATAGGCAGTAACAGTAAGATAGAAAGAAAACTTCTCGACATTTAAAAGTTTGAAAATCTGATCGACTTTCAAACTTTTAAATGGTGTTGAGTTCAATTACAAAGCTCAATAGGAATCCTCCTTAGAATGTATGGGATCTTATTTAATACTATATAACTCAATCTATTGCTTACATTTCTATAAAGCGAGAAGACTCACAGACACACAGGCCGTCCATATATTTTTCAATTATATTTTTTATTATGTAATCTAAAGTAAATCAATTAGAAAATAAACTAATCATATAATTCAATGTCTGTAGTTATTGTAATGATAATAATAATATGGATATGATGTCTAGCTAAAAGTATAAGTACACTCCCTCATGTTGTGAGCCATGCAAAACAGGATTTGTGTGAAGTCATGGTAACAATATACATGTTCATAATTATGTAGCATATTATATTGTCATTGCTACTTGTATGTTTGTTTCGTCTAAATAAGTTTTACTTTTTTTTTACCCAATTAAGGGAATAGATAAATATAAACTTTAACAAGGTCTAAGGAAGACACTCTTTTCAGCTTGAAAAGCTGAATGTTCTAATAATTTTGATAAATTCATAAAAAATATTTTCTTTCTTATTTTTAAATATATTTATTAAATAGTTTGGTACATCACCTACTTGAAAATAGTATTGAATTGAATTGTAATCCTCGTTGGTTTTGTGGTCGTAAACCCACAATCCAGGTTCAAGGTCCCAGGTTCAAATCTCTAGTTGGGCTAAAATCAGCCCAGAGTCAAGAACTTTGCAGTTTTTCCCTCCATTCCTCTCAGAAAGCATGTAAAGCAGTTGGTTGCACAATGTTTTTCCTATTATGATGGATTGCCAACCCATCGGACTATGATAATGAGGGAATAGTAAGTTCATTTGTAATTGTGTACACAGTTGTGCACTATAGTCCTGTCCTGCACAGATAGCTAATCTCCATTCTTTAGTTCTCTGAGTTTTTATGTTTGGTGTTACTTAATAAATCAAGCTATACAAAATTTATTTGCAGAAATCAATTCTGGAGCTAGTACACCTTCATTATCGCCACGTAAAGAGCTAAATGGCAGAAATGGCGGTAGTGGTGGCGCTTCTTCAGGCGCCTGGTCAGAAGGCGAAGGTTCTTCGGCAGGGGCTTCTGTACAGGGTGATGATGATAATGATACACAAGCATTTCTTGATCTACTATCTGCTACGCGAACCCCACAGGTAAACTTTAATGAGAAATATTTCCTTTGTAATATGTAATTTCGATCATAAATTGACTGTGGCAACATCTTTCTGTCACCCTATGAAATTAACACATGAAATCATCACAGCATTCACTCAGCACACAACTTCCATTATAGCTTCTGACTGAATTAGACTGAAAAAAGTTAAGCACGGGTTTCAATACAATACAATACTCCTTATTTTATATCAAGAAAATTATGATAACAAAAAAATTACAAACATTCAGGGAAAACAAGCACACTGCGATGTCTCCCAGATAACCCAAAAAATAATGAAGTAGGATGCCTCCTAAAAAGGTTAATGAGGTGCACTATAATTTATTAATCTAATTATGTACTAAAAAGACAACAGGCTTTTAGTATTAAATTAGTGATTGTAGATTAGACATTTTAAAGCTCATTGCATTAATTTGAAGAGTCCAAGAAAGGCTAACTGCAATATTTGGAAACAAATTACCCAAATACTTAACAGTATCACATGGTAATTGGTAAGAGATAAGGACAATATTATTGTTACAGTTTTTGACAGTTTTTTTTTTAATTTGGAGATGATTCTTCAACTCCTAATAATAATGGCTTGTGCGATTTTAAAAGGGTTATGGGTAACCCATATGATCAACTTTCAGTTAATGATGATTTTCCTAAATAAGTTAAATGAATGACACGTTTAACTAAATTAGGAAAATTCTCGATTTCTATTTAAAAATACACTGAAAAGGTACTCCATAAACCAATATTGGGAAGTTTAAAACTAAGCCTAATTTTCGATAAGGCTTAAAAGAGCCTGCAATATATCCCCAACTTTATAAATGACACAACCAACATCTGGGAACATTTCGGAAAAATATACTATATATATATATATACTGCACCGTGTTTATCATCATTTTCATAAAAAATGTAAATCTTATCTGTTATCTGCATAGTAGCAGCCTTTTTAACACAAGTGATAAAAACAATTAATGGGTATTTGATAGTGATAAAAGCTTGCTATGCCAATGTCGTGTTTGCAACTTGCAATAAAAATAAATTTATAGTGTTGCGATCTATAGATAAATAATGTACGAGGGCGGCACTGAAAATTTCGGGAATCAAGGAAGTGACACAACATTACTATTTAAAAATGTATTTATTGCTTTTCGAAGTATTCTCCGCGAAATTTGACACATTTTTCCATACGATGGAACCAATCATTGAAGCAACCATTCCATTCGGAAGTTGGGGTCTCCAAAATGGCCGTTTTGTAGGCGTCCACAGCTTCTTCAGTTGATGAAAATCTCTGTCCACGCAATTTATTCTTTATTTTAGGGAAAGTATAGAAATCATTAGGGCTTAGGTCGGGGCTGTACGGCGGATGGTCTAATAATTCTATGTTTTATTGCTCTAAAAACTCTTTTTATTCTGTGTGCGGTGTGAGAACTCGCATTGTCGTGATGGAGGATGATGCGGCGGTTGCAGTTCTCTTTACGGAGTTCAGAAATGACCTATGGCAAACAAATGCTAGCATACCATTCTGCATTAACCGTTCTTTGTCCCTCAAGAGGAATAGTCGTAACATGGCCGGTTTTGTAGACAAACGTGGCCACCATTTTTTTTGCGACTCTCCGTGAACGAACAATTTTTGTTGGCTTTAACTCATTTTCGAACACCCAAACTCGTGACTGGTTTTTTGTTTCGGGTTCGTACGCGTATATCCAATATTCGTCACCTGATACGATGTTGTATACAGCATTTGAGGATCCTGCGTGGAATCTTTCGAGAGTTCTGACGCACCAAGTAACGCGAGCCGCTTTTTGCTCTTCACAGAGCGAATGCGGTATCCATCGGGAAAACAACTTTTTTACACCTAATTGTTCATGCAAGATTATTTGTATTTGACTCATGCCAATGTCTAAAGTTGCCTGAATTTCGCGGTATGTCACATGTCGATCTTCCTCAATCAGCTTACGCAGAGCATCAACGTTTTCTTGGGTGACTGTGGTTTTTGGACGACCTTGACGGGGATCATCACTGAGCTTGACACGTCCACGTTGAAATTCAGCAAACCAGCGATAAATTGTGGTTTTGGATGGGGCTACATCACCAAATGCAGAAATCATCCGGTCAACACACTGTTTTTGTGTTAAACCACTTCGAAAGTCATAATAAATCATCGCTCTTGAATTTTCTCGAGTCAATTCTATTATCTCAACGACTAAACAAGTTTGACAAAAGCTTGTGACAAGACCGAGAATCTTTTTTTTAAATAAATAAATGGTATTCGATTTTTAAAACCAAGGGGTTTTCAATTAAAAAGATTTTAATATGACAGGAACAGTGGAAATATTCCATTCCCGATACTTTTAGTGCAGCCTATGTAGAATGAATTATAACACAAATTCTAAGAAGTCAAATATTTAGTAAAATAAATATTTTCTTAACAATATTAATAACAGTATCCAAAAAAAATGATTAGGTAAAAAAGTTGCTATTATTTTATACCTTATTATCTTATATATTCTCCAGAAACAGTCGCAAGGCATTCAATGACGACAGCAGGAATTTATAATAGCAGACGAAGGTTATATGAATTTTACCATGAAAGATCATATAATCTTTCCGACACTTTTGAAGAATATGTCAAAAATTATTCTAAAATGTTTAAAAGAGTTTGCTTCACAGTCACAGCCAAATCTTTACATATTATTAGCAACAAAATTAAGATGGTTAAGAATAAAATGAAAATGATGGAGTGTAATTAACAGCAAAACCGACAAAGACAAACCTCATAACACAAACTATCAATTGATAATTAACAATGAATAATTGACTAAATCAAATCCAGAAGTCGCAGCGGTGTTTGAAAAATATTTCACTGATATTCTTATCTTGACAATAGAGTCATTGAATACTTAACCAACTGTAACGCCTAGTCATTAATAAAACAGAATGTTAATACCTGTTTAAAAGAATTTAGATTTGAAAAAGTATTATCGCAATGTATTGTAAAATATTTCAAAACCCTTGATGTAAAGAAAACTGCAGATTCATGGGGGATTTCCTTTACAGTTATTGCGTCCCTAATAGATTTAATTGCAACTCATCTTGCTATTATTTTTAATACTTGTATCGATTCTGGTGTGTTTCCTGATATAATGAAACATAGTAAAGTAATATCTTTATTTAAGTCTGGTAGCACAATGGATCCCGCAAAATTTAGACCTATTTCTGTACTACCAACTCTCAGTAAAATTTTTGAAAAAATTATTTTGGATCAATTGTTTTTTTTTAATACAAATAAATTACTTCATAAAATCAGTTTCAATTTACAAGGGGTTGCTCGACGGCTGACGCAGGTTTTAAGTGTATGAAATATATTTTCAATGCCTGGCAGAATTCACTAGATGCCTTAGCTATTTTTTATGATCTTTCCAAGGCTTTCGATTGTGTTCATCATGAGACATTAATCAGAAAACTACAACATTACGGTGCCAAAAATATTGTGCTTAGACTTATTATTTCATATTTAAATAACAAAACTCAAAAAGTCATTATTAACGGAAATGGTTCCTCCGTATCGGTAGTATCAATGGGCTTTCCTCAGGGCTCGATTCTTGGTCCATTCCTGTTCTTAATCTATATTAATGACTTACCTTATCTTCTAGGGGACAATAACGATATAGTATTATTTGCTAATGATACCTCTTTAATTTTCAAACTCAAACGGTAGTCAATTAATTATTACGATGTAAATAATGCTCTTTTAAGTGCTGATTTACCACGTGCTCGGCGATGAAAGAAAACATCGTGAGGAAAGCTGCATGTCTGAGAAATAAGAAAAAAAAATGATTTCGAAGACGTGTGAAGTCGCCAATACGTATTGGGGCATCGCGGCGGACATTTCCTTGCTAAAACCCTCTCTTTTAAAAAAATTAGAGGAGGCCTGTGCCCAGAAGTGGGAAGTATATAAGCTGTAACTTTAACTTTTTTAACTAAATAATGCTCTATCGAAATTAGTACATTGATTTAACGCCAACAATTTGCTCTTAGACGGTAATGAAACAAAATGTATTAAATGTACAATACCTAATGTTAAACATTCGAAAACCAATGTGCTCTTAAGTGCAGAAGAGTTGAGCCTTATGAATGCCACTGTTCCTTGGTGGTATCCTTGGTTCCTTGGTATCAATATTGACGCGAAGCTTCAATGGAGCCCCCATATATCTAAATTAGCAAGCAGACTTAGTTCTGAAGCATATGCTGTAAGAAAGATTAGAAGTCTCACAGATGTTGAGATAGCTAGATTAGTTTATTTTAGTTACTTTCATAGTGTAATGTCTTATGGAATTTTGCTATGGGGTAATGCAACTCATATTAAAGCCATATTTGTTTTGCAAAAGAGAGCTATACAAGCGATTTATAACTTAAATTGTAAAGGCTCCCTCGCAGAAAAACTTAAAGAAATAAACATATTAACTTTGGCATCACAATATATTTATGAAAATGTAATGCATGTACATAAATAACATAAATAGCTTTGATAAGAATAAGGATGTTCATACTTTAAACACTAGGAACAAACATAAGCTTGTAATGCCAGTTACTGACTCCCCAGAATCAGTAACTCATTTATGAGGCAATGTATACGCTTTTACAACAAAATCCCAGAACATGTTCAAAGTTTGTGAATAAACAAGTTTAAAAGTTTTTTTTTAAAGAAAACTTGTACAAAAATGGTTATTATAATATCAAGGAACACATTAATGAAAATAACCCCTGGGAATGAGGTGTTCGCCACCATGCTGGTTCTATTTAAATTCATTTAAAAATTGTCCAAACAAAATTATTGTTAAGTGAAATATGTTTAAAAAAAAGTCCCGCTCGGTTTCCTGCTGGTTCTTCCCAGGACAGAGTATTTTCCAAACCAGTGGTAAATAAAAAAATAGATGTATATTGTATGTATTCTATACATTAATAGAAGACATTTTAGCATAGATACATCCCACTAATGGATCTACTTGGTGGGTCCACAAAGACCAAGTGGTTATTTCCATACATACATCATGTATAGACCTGGTCTTTGGGAAGAAGCCCATTGTTTGTTCTAGTTATTTATTTGGAAGTAATTGGAAGTAAAGACTAGAAATGAGTTGGGGGGTGACTTAAAACTTTAGGCCTAGTCAGTTTGAATAGCCTATCATGTAGAGGATGTCATGGGGGTCATGGTTGAATAGGGGCAAAAAGATCTCATTACACTCCTGCAGCACTCAAAATGGTCAAAAACCAAAAAATTTAAAATTCTTATTTCGGCTATAACTCCGCCTCTTTCGGAGGTTCTTACACAGTCTTTACTTCCCGCATACTGCTTTTAATTCTAATGTACTCATAAATTTTAAGTTACTTGTAACACTTTGATAAAATTAAAATTGGTCTTATGCGTTGTTTTAGGTTAGCGACATAACTCCTACCAGTGCTTTAGTGCAATGGAACTCACCATTGCCTGAAGGAGTATCATTGCCAAATGTGGAGTTGACTTATGACTTACTTTTGGGCGACAGAGGTCGATATAAAGCTATTTACAGTGGACCATCATTATCATGCAGGTTTGTATCAATTATGATTGAACATATGTGCTTAAATGCTAATAGTATATTTATGGCCAAAAACACCCAAACGCTACTCAATTTTAAGACGTCGTTACTGACAATTCTTTTTATATTCATCCTGTGATTGTGATGCGATTGACGTGTATGCATGAGCGACTTCGAATTGAGACGTTATGGAACAGCTCAGTTTTTTTTCTAAACGGCATCAATGATAGACATGGGACAGTGCGATGCAAGACTAATCTTCCAACATGAGTGTTTATGTTAGCGGAGACACAAGGGAATATGGCAAACAACCTCAAAATTATAAGGAACTTTTGTTGATGTTAATAATAATTTATATTTTATTATCATCAACAAAAGTTTTGGTTGTCCCAGCCGTGTAGTGGCGGTTTAGAATATCCACTACCCCATATATTCCCGTGGGTGTCGTAAGAGGCGACAGTGGGAAACAGGCAGGAGATGGGCAGCAGCATCTTCCTGATAACAGCAATATCCCAATAAAAAAAACTGCGGTTGCCAACCCGCTCGCCAAGCGTGGCAACTATGGTTATATACCCCTCAATGAAAAAAGTTACGAAAAGACAGCCCCCAGTCCCCGGCGGCCCCGCTATTCCTGGCTACGGTGGCGACCATGTTAACGGCGGGGCAGGGGGTGCTAAGAATCTCCGATGGAGGTTCGGTTGCCACCTACGACGACTCGACCTGGCAACTTATAACGCACGCACCCTGAGGACTGACGAGAAGATCCTGGAGCTGGAAGAAGAGATAGACAAGTTGCGCTGGAACATTATAAGATTATCCGAGGTCCGAAGAGACGGGGAGGACACGGTAATCCTCGAATCCGGCAACTTGTTCTATCACCGGGAGGGCGACCATCTATCCCAAGGAGGTGTCGGATTTATCGTCCACAAGTCTATTGTTAACAATGTTGTAAAGATTGGGAGTGTGTCGACGAGGGTTGCGTACCTTATACTCAGAATTACCAAACGGTATTCGCTGAAGGTCATACAGGTTTACGCACCAACCTTGGCACACCTCGATGAGGAGATGGAGGAAATGTATGATGATATCTCTAGAGCCATGCATTCCTCCAAAACCCGCTATACGGTGTTAATGGGAGACTTCAATGCAAAACTAGGCACAAGAGAGAACGGTGAACTGAAAGTAGGGAAATTCGGAATAGGGCAACGGAACCCAAGGAGCCAGCAGCTGGCCGACTTCATGGAGAAAGAGGGACTCTTTATGATGAACTCTTTCTTCCAGAAGAGGCCCCACAGGAAGTGGACCTGGTCGAGCCCCGACGGTTCGACAAAAAATGAGATTGACTTCATTATGACGACCAGACCACAACTGTTCAGTGATGTCTCTAAAACTAGTAGCGATTCCGAAGATATTCCGGACGTCAGTCTGAGCGAGATTTTCTAATCTCTTAACTTTACCTTAGTGTCAACTAGCGACATCTGGTCAGCAGAAAGTTATTAGCCATCATTATAAAATACTTTGATCTCTGCTTGTGTCATACACTGAGCACTATAATCCTGTCCTGCGCCGATGGCTAGTCTCCGTTGAGGCCGGCCGGGAAATTCGGTCTGGAGGACATTATTATTATTATTATCGAATTGTAGAAATCGATAGGGGTGGCAAAATTTTAATAGCCTGCAGACGGCAAATATGTAAATACGCCACTGTCCAAGAGCAAGTCTTATCCGACACTATTCCGATTATATTCCGGACGTCAGTCTGAGCGAGATTAGAATCCATTAGCTCCAGCACCTTAAAAACGGCAAGTCCCCAGGCGAGGATGGAATTACAGCGGAGCTTCTGAAAGCGGGTGGAAAACCGGTACTTGAAGTCTTTCAGAAGCTCTTTAATTCCGTCCTCCATGGTGGTAATACTCCGGAGGCGTGAAGCAGAAGTGCGGTGGTCTTGTTCTTCAAGAAAGGCGATAACGCTCTCTTGAAGAACTACAGACCGATTTCCCTTCTGAGCCGCGTCTACGTGCTGTTTTCGAGAGTCATTACGAATCGTCTCGCACGCAGACTTGACGACTTCCAGCCTCCCGAACAAGCCGGTTTGCGAAAAGGCTTTAGTACCATAGACCACATACACACTCTTCGGCAAATTGTACAGAAGACAGAAGAGTACAATCTGCCACTTTGCCTTGCGTATGTGGACTATGAGAAAGCCTTTGAATCCGTCGAAATTTGGGCGGTGCTACAGTCCCTTCAGCGTTGCCAAGTTGACTCGATAGTCAACTTGGCACCGCTGAAGTATACCGATGTATATCGAAGTGCTGAAGTGTTTGTACAGTAGGGCTACGATGGCTATCCGAGTACAGAACCAGAGTACGAAACCTATCCAACTGCAGAGAGGTATGTAAGACAGGGCGACGTTATATCCCCGAAACTCTTCACCGCTGTATTGGAAGACGTTTTCAAGCTACTGGACTGGAAAGGATACGGTATTAACATCAATGGCGAGTACATCACTCACCTTCGATTTGCCGACGATATAGTCCTTATTGCAGAATCGCTGGAGGATCTAAGCACTATGCTCAATGACCTCAATAGTGTCTCCCAACGGATAGGTCTTAAGATGAACATGGACAAAACAAAGATCATGTTTAATGTCCATCTCACACCTATGCCGGTTGTCGGGGGCACTAAGCTCGAAGTTGTTGACGAGTATATAATTAATAGAATCAGGCGTTACTTTGCGGAAATCCATTATATAAAAGCTTTTACAAAAACTTACTTCGCAAATATCCGCGTTATAAAATAAAATGATGTGTCTTACCTAGTATGAAGAAGCACCTCCCGCCCTCCCTCAATAGCGTGCACTATCCCCGTCACCACTAATCCCAGCACCGCTACTTCCAACACCACTACACTAGGCAAGACACACCACTGACGATAATACGACACGTGTTTCGCCTCTACACGAGGCATCCTCAGGTGATATAGACTCTATGACGAGAGACCTGGGACAAATAGTCCGACTAGGTAAGTCCCAACTTCGGCCGAGAGGTCAATCGACGGATTCAACTTGGTTGGGCAGCGTTCGGGAAATTACGGCATATTTTCTTGTCAGGTATACTTCAAAACTTGAAAACAAGACTATACAACCAGTGCGTGTTGCCAGTGATGACCTATGGAACTGAGACGTGGTCTTTCACTGCTGGCCGGATGAGGAAGTTCAAGGTTGCTCAGCGAGCTATGGAGAGGGCTGTGCTCGGAGTTTCTCTGCGTGACAAACTTAAAAATGAGGATATCCGCAGTGGAACCAGAGTGACCGACATAGCCCATCGGATTAGTAAGCTGAAGTGGCAATGGGCCGGCCATATAGCTCGAATAACCGACAACCTATGGGGGAAAAAAGGTTCTCGAGTGGCGGTCTCGTACGGCGGACGAAGTGTAGGGCGTCCCCCCACTAGATGGAGTGACGACCTGGTAAGACGTGTAGGAAGTCGATGGATGCAGGTGGCTCAGAACCGTGTTTTGTGGAAGGGCTGTAATGATGACGATGATGATGAAGAGTTGTCCTAAATTGTGGGATATGAAAAGTATAGTATACATGAACAAAAACGAGACAAATGTTTTTTTTTTAACAAAATAGTAGTATAATTTAGTCCTCTTTTGGTTTTTGCTACGTAGAAAAATACTAAGTACAAGAAATAATTATTCAAACTATAATTAGTCAGTAATTTCACAAACTAATGTAAATATTATCTTAAAGTTATGTGTCACATTGTTTGTCCGCGATGAACTACTGAACTGATGAAATACTGAAATGATTTCAATGAAATTATGCATACTTTGTGCAGTTTGGTCCAAATTGAGAGATTTATCCCGACAAGTGACCCTCAATTTTTTTATTGTTAATTTCAAGAGTTTTTTTACGAAAGCAAATGGTCGTCGGAAAGGGCTGAACAACGTCTGCCTGGTCAGCTAGTAATATATAAATATAAAAAATATAAAAAAAAATTTATATATGAAACATTTTTTATATAAAAATTTTTTTATGAAAAAAAAAATTTCATATATACAGTTGCTTGTTTTTCAAACTACTAAATAATTCCACAACGATTCAAAGACCTCTTTACTTTTATACAGGCTGTTCTGAAACGCTGGCATAATTTGATGGTTTGATCGTTAACGTAACGCATGTTACCGTGTAGTCACACATAAGAAGGACAGAGTTATTATGTGTCGCAGGGTACGGGACCTGAGGCCGGGGTGCGAGTACTCGGTGTGCCTGCAGATCCGCGCGGGCGAGCAGACGGGCGCGGCGAGCGAGGCGGCGACGTTCCGCGCGCCCGCCGCGCCGCCGGCGCGCATGGCGCCCGCGCGCGTCGCCAGCCGCGCGCGCTCCTCGCTGCTGCTGCGCTGGGCGCCGCCCGCCGACAACGGCGCCCGCCTGCTGCACTACCTGCTCGAAATGGACGCCGGCGAGGGCTTCGCCGAGATCTCGCGCCCCCGCACCCGCCAGCACACCGTCAACAACCTGCGCCCGCAGACCTGTCACCGCTTCCGCATCGCCGCCGTCAACGAGTGCGGCCGCGGCGAGTGGAGCGACGAGTTCGTCGGCTGGACCATGGGCGCTCCCCCGCCGGCTCCGGCGCCTCCGAAATTGCTCGGCGCCGCCGCCAACTGCCTCACGCTCGCTTGGGAGCGACAGGCCGACGAAGAATTCACCCTTCAAATGGACGAGGTGGCGCGCGGCCACGGATTCCTGCCCGTGTACACAGGCACCGAGTGCTCCTATGTCTGCAACGCCCTGCGCCGAGCATCTGATTATCGTTTTCGTTTAAGATGTGAGAACGCCGACGGACAAGGTCCGTGGTCGCAAGAAGTCACCTACCGTACGTTACCTGAGAGGCCCGGAGCCCCCGGCCGACCGGCACCGAAGGGAAAAATACACTCACGTGCATTCCGACTTAGGTGGGATCCGCCCTCAGATGACGGGGGCGCTTCTATCGAAAATTATACACTGGAGATCGACGGAGGTGAAGGTTATCAACCAACTTATAATGGACCCGACCGGGAGGCGCATTGCGATCGCTTGCAACCTGGCGTCCAATATCGCGCACGTGTGCGTTGTGCAAACGTGGCCGGCGAAAGCGACTGGTCGACTACTGAAACGATCACGACGGAGGCGACTTGTCCCGGCGCCTGCTCCGCACCCGAGCCGGCGGCCGAGCCGAGAGCCACGTTAATATCGGTGCGATGGCGACCGCCAGATTGTAACGGCGGTTCACCGCTTACCGAGTACAGGGTGGAGATCGTCGACGAAAACGGTACTGTACGTTTGGCACATTCGTCACTTGAGAGAGAATGCACCGTCCGCGAGCTGCAGCCGGGCTGCGAATATAGATTATGGGTCGTGGCCTGCAACAAAGTGGGCGCGGGTCCGCCGTCGCCAGCGCTACATTTCACGACGGCAGCCGCACCTCCCGACGCGCTTGAAACTCCCGTCGCCCACGTCGAAAACGCGCGAACCGCACGCCTCGAATGGTATCCATCTCGCGATAACGGTGCTCCGATCTTGGACTATCGACTCGAAATGAGTGCAACGAACGTCGACGATGCCTTCGCAGAAGTGTATCGTGGCCGCGATACAGTCTGTGTGGTTTCGAAGTTGACACCGTTCTCGCCGTACTTCTTCAGAGTGTGCGCCACAAATTCGGCCGGCCGCGGAGCGTGGTCGGGCATCCGCGACGTTTTAACTCCGCGCGCACCTCCCGCTGCACCGACAGGAATTCGTCACGAGGCAACAGCGGACAGTCTGCGACTGCACTGGCGATGCCCCGCGAGTCACGGCGCGGACATCTTACGCTACCGTGTGGAAGTCGACGAGTCCACGTTCGAGACGGACGGTCCGATACCGGAACATCTAGTGGAAGGCCTCGTACCTGATACAGTTTATAGGGTACGTGTAGCGGCATTCAACGAGCTGGGATTGGGCGATTGGTCGGAGGAATCGCGCGCGGCGACACGGCCACGGCCACCCGCGCCACCCGTACTGCACTGTGCTTTAGTCGCGCATAATTTTATCAAGCTGGAGTGGGAGGGTGCAGAGGGGAGAGTGTACTGTGTGGAGATGCGCGCGGCGGAATCGCGCGAGTTCCGGCCGGTGTACCGAGGCTCGGCGCGAAGCTGCAAGGTGAAGAAGCTGCGCGAGGCTACGGCGTACTGGTTCCGGATCCGCGCGAGCGACGAGCTGGGCGGGCGCGGCGAGTGGGGCGCGCCCGTGTGCGAGCGCACGCAGGCCGCGCCGCCGCCCGCGCCGCGCGCGCCCGCGCTGCACCTGCCCGCGCCGCGCTGCGCCACCGTGGCCTGGGAGCCGCTCGACAACGCGCACTACGTGCTGCAGTGCGCGCGCACCAAGGACGCCGTTTACAAACAGGTCGGTACTCATTTGTACTCACTAGTGGTCGAATATGGAAGACCGTATTTCATCAATTTTGTTGAAAACACACTCCTGTCTCATATACTAATTATTACATTTTTGTCCTGACAAAAATAGTTTTAGTTTTTAACAGTGGTAGAGCCACACGGCAGCTTTTGCTGTCGCACGGATGGGCCGGCCGCAGCAACCACTTACCATCAGGTGAACTGTGTGCTCGTTAGTCACCCTTATCTTATAAAAAAAAAAACACCACAGACTATCGAAAACACACTCGGAACACTCGATATCACACAAAATTGAGTAGTACGAGGGCGGTACTGAAAATTTCGGGAATCAAGGAAGTGACACAACATTACTATTTAAAAATGTATTTATTGCTTTTCGAAGTATTCTCCGCGAAATTTGACACCTTTTTCCATACGATGGAACCAATCATTGAAGCAACCATTCCATTCGGAAGTCGGGGTCTCCAAAATGGCCGTTTTGTAGGCGTCCACAGCTTCTTCAGGTGATGAAAATCTCTGTCCACGCAATTTATTCTTTATTTTAGGGAAAGTATAGAAATCATTAGGGCTTAGGTCGGGGCTGTACGGCGGATGGTCTAATAATTCTATGTTTTCTTGCTCTAAAAAATCTTTTGTTCTGTGTGCGGTGTGAGAACTCGCATTGTCGTGATGGAGGATGATGCGGCGGTTGTAGTTCTCTTTACGGAGTTCAGAAACGACCTGTGGCAAACAAATGCTAGCATACCATTCTGCATTAACCGTTCTTTGTCCCTCAAGAGGAATAGTCGTAACATGGCCAGTTTTGGAGACAAACGTGGCCATAATTTTTTTTGCAACACTCCGTGAACGATCAATATTTGTTGCCTTAACTCATTTTCGAACACCCAAACTCGTGACTGGTTTTTTGTTTCGGGTTCGTACACGTATATTCAAGATTCGTCACCTGATACGATGTTGTATACAGCATTTGAGGATCCTGCGTGGAATCTTTCAAGAGTTCTGACGCACCAAGTAACGCGAGTCGCTTTTTGCTCTTCACAGAGCGAATGCGGTATCCATCGGGAAAACAACTTTTTTACATCTAATTGTTCATGCAAGATTATTTGTATTTGACTCATGCCAATGTCTAAAGTTGCCTGAATTTCACGGTATGTCACATGTCGATCTTCCTCAATCAGCTTACGCACAGAATCAACGTTTTCTTGGGTGACTGCAGTTTTTGGACGACATTGACGGGGATCATCACTGAGCTTGACACGTCCACGTTGAAATTCAGCAAACCAGCGATAAATTGTGGTTTTGGATGGGGCTTCATCACCAAATGCAGAAGTCATCCGGTCAAAACACTGTTTTTGTGTTAAACCACTTTGAAAATCATAATAAATCATCGCTCTTGAATTTTCTCGAGTCAATTCCATTTTCTCAACGACTAAACAAGTTTGATAAAGCCTTGTGGCAAGACCGAGAATCTTTTTTTAAATAAATAAATGGTATTCGATTTTTAAAACCAAGGAGTTTTCAATTAAAAAGATTTTAATATGACAGAAACAGTGGAAATATTCTATTCCCGATACTTTTAGTGCAGCCTATGTAATTATTTATTGGCAACATTTTAAAATTTCTTGGCGGCAATCTCTACTCTGTGCAATTGTTTGACCATAGACTATTATGTGTATGACATTGGCAGTATAAAACGTAAACAAACAACAGTCATAGATGTGTTTTACATTGGGAGTAGACATGCGCGCCGAGCAAGAATTCGGCGGCGGCGGCGCGCCGACCCATTGTGGTCGGCGTGGCGACGCCGCGCCGGCGTGGCCGTATTTTATTTTAATTTTTATAAACATTTATTTAAAATAAGGTAGTAACAAGTGAAACATAGACCTGGATAGGAATTCAAATTTAATTTCTCAAAATAAAAACAAACTAAACAAGTTCTAATTAATGATTTCTTATATTTACGCGAACACTACACATTTAAATAAAACTAATTTTACGGATTTTATCGCGTATATTAACTTATTTTACTTTCCCGACGTTTCAAGCACTTTGCAGCACCCATGGTCACGGGGGTACTGAGGTGTATGACGTCCCAATGTCATAGTTAACCACGGCTACCTCCAGATTAAAATTTTTAGTAAAATAAGTTAATATACGCGATAAAATCTGTAAAATTAGTTTTATTTAAAAGTTCTAATTAATTATACCTTATAATTTGTGCAAAAACGAAAAAGCACATTTTTTTGTTTCTTGCACAAACTATAGGAAATTAAAATTGTGTTTTTTGCATAATGTATAATTATCATGAATAAAAATAATTTTATTAACGTGTACTGGGCTTAGTCTAGATCTTTTAGCAGTCACAGTTAGTCCCACTATAGAAAAAACGCGCTCACTAGGCGTGCTAGTAGCAAATGTTCTGATCACAGAGTAGTTTTTATATACATACTGAAAGTTCTGATACGCGCTCCAGAGACTGTAAAAATTTAATTTGTTCTATTTCCGCCGCTCGCTTCAATTCCGGTAAGCGATACCGAACGATTTTTACGATCTTTTTACATTTTCTTATTGATTTTTAAATTTTTAAATAATTGCATGGTTTTATTGACCCCGCGCCCAAGCGCCCGTCCCGCGTTGGTTCACGGCGCGCCGATCGGATTTGTCGGCGCGGCGCGGCGTGGGCAGGGCGCGGCGTGGCGCGGCGGCGCCGGCGCGGCGCGCATGTCTAATTGGGAGTATAAAAAGTAACAATTAATACATGATCAAACGAACTTCTAAGTGAAGTTCGATCAGTATTATATGAGTCACTTTATTCGAAGATATAGATGTTATATAATATATGTATTTTATATACATATATGAGTTATTGCCCGAACAATGAAAGGACTTATATATGTATATAAAATACATATATTATATAACATCTATATCTTCGAATAATGTGACGAAATAATAATGTTTTATTTAATTTAATGTATTTGTAACAAATATTAGAAAGAAATATTAGCTTTTTACACTCTTTCATGTAAACTTTAACTATGCTACAAACTCCTTTGTACGCGTTAAACGTATCCCACACACAAGCGGCTTGCGGTGGCGGCCAGTCGGTTTCTCTTGGAATGTAAGTGAGTCTGCAAACACGTGCGGTCATGTCGCGATCTTCGAGCGGCTGGCCGCAGGACTCTGCCGTGGAGGTGGGCAAAGTGTATCAGTTTTGTGATTGGAACATTTGCATCTTGATCACTGAAATGTTCCAAAACACTGATATGTTTCATTTGGCTCATTTGGATCATCGACTCAAAAGATATAAAAGAAAGAATGTTCCGAATACATTAAGTTGCGTCGCGGGCGTTTATTACTGACTGATCCGTGAAATGTTATGTGGCAACAATGCTGAATAATATAAGTGCTTAGATTATTTATTGTGTACCGTAATAAGATTGTATATAAAATCGATTCTTCTTCATACTTTAACAAAAATGTCACTATGTCAATTCATTATTTACAAAAATGTCCATTTACACAAAACAGCAATGTCTATGTACACAGAATTTACTCGTAAAGTATCATTACTCTAAACTTTATGATGAAATGGAATAGTCACAATAATCACTACGCAAAGAAATCCTAAACATAACTCAGTATGTTTTCGTAAACAGGCGCTAATGAATATAAACAATTTGACAATTGCCGCATCAACGTATAATGACAACTTGTTAATGCAAACATTACATACAAAAAACATAATATACATAATATAACAATAATATAGTATTTGACACATAAGCGCCTTAGTGGTAATTTTTACGTGCATGAATAACGTCAGCGACAATCCGTACGAGTTGAGTGATACACTTCTTATTTGTTATCTCTATCTGATTTGTGTGGATTATAATTATTTCCCCCGCTCACTCGCCACTCGTGAGTCAATAGTTAAGTTAATCATTGTCTCAGTCTCTCTCTCCCGCTCGTGGCTCAGTCGCCTCGCAAGTGACGCGTCGCGCGATATGAGCAAAGAGCAAAGTAATGTTTCACTGTTCCAGATACAAATGATACGTTTGAAACGTTGTTACTGAACCAATCTTTTGTGTCACTTTAGTGATTCGTATCAGTGAGTCGTTTCCGTAAAGAGATACACACGCCTACTCTGCCGCCGCGTGTGGTTAGCGAACGTGCGGGCCGCAGCGGAGTCAGTTGCATATTTTTACAATAGGCCGCGTGTACCACGTAAAATGGCGCTAAATACAGAGATTTTAATAGAAACAGTGCAAAATTATCCAGAAATATATGATACTTCACACCGTGATAACAAAAGTATTAGAATTAAAAACAAAATATGGGATAATATTGCTGAATATAATAAGAGTAATGAGGCTTCGTCACGGTCAGCCATGTTATCTGACGTCCGAACGTAGCCAGTACACCACAACGAATGGCGCTTCAGGCAGACACTGCGACCGCGGTGGTGTGTTGTTGCTGGTTGTGTCGGCTGGAGCCGCTGCCGCAAGCTCCTCGTGTTGGGAGACGCTTAATATGGTTAAAAAAGGGTGCAAAGTTTTCTTTTCACATAATATTATTAACATATAGATCTGTCTGTAAATAGTCCACTGCCATATTTCGCCGAGCAAAGATGAATACCAACGTATAGACAGACACCAACATTTGTCTGGCCTCGCCATTGCTCGTCCTTGCTCGCCTAGTTGGCCGAGTATAGGCGAGCGCTAACGTTTTCGTTTGGGGTGCTTTACCACCACTTGGGATCGCTAACCACGACTCGTGTCACTTTGGAACAGTGTCGGTTTTTCTGCACAAATGTCCACATGTGTGTTAGTCGGCCATGTCAGTATGTTTACTTTTTCAAATTTGGCCAACATGTAGGCTGTAGCATTCGCCTTGTATCAATTTGCCTACGCTCGCGTTGGTTGAGGCTTGGCCAACATGTATTGTGGGCTTTAAACGTTAAAGGTTAAAGTTAAACGAAAAAATGCTTTTTTGTTCAGTTGGTTAGTGTAGAGGATTGGAGACTCTTTTTGAGCGTGTAATGGCGGTGTAAGAATATTCACTATACATCATTTCGTGGGTGTCGTAAGCGGCGACAGAGGGAGACAAATCAAGAAATGGGCAGTATTGTATTTCTAATAACAATAAAGAAAAAAACTGCGGTTGCCGACCTGTCTGCCATGTGTGACAACCATGGTAATCTATGGGGGAGGCTGTTCAATAGTAGACTTTGATAAACTGTAATGGATGCCATACACGATCCAGTTTACCGTCAAGTTTGCAGCGGCGTCCTGTAAAACTGACGGTGTATGGCTATTAGTGTGCATGACAAGTCTACTTGGAGTAAAAATTGAATTTCGATTTTGCCGACTTGATCAAGCTTGCAGCATCATGCAAACTTGAACGTGTGTATGAGCGGTCAAGTATGCATGACGGTAGTCGGAGCAAATAAGTGAGAGACGCCATGGTTTCAACTGATGCGACATCGTGCAAACTTGACAGCGAACTTGAAAGTGAGTGGTCTATATGGATGCATTGCAAACTTGACGGTAAACTGGATCGTGTATGGCATCCATTCATATATAAATGAGTGGAAGACGTAGCGTTTGTGTTGAGCGAGCGGTAAGTGTACGCTTGCGGCAGGTGTACGCGGGCAGCGAGACGCAGTTCACGCTGGAGGAGCTGGAGCAGGGCGCGGAGTACCTGGTGCGCGTGTGCGCGGTGCGCGGCGGGCTGGCGGGCGCCTGGTCGGCGGCGACGCGCCTGGCCGTGCCCGCCGCCGCGGCCGCGCCCGCGCACCCGCCGCGCGCCCGCCGGCCGCGCGCGCGCCCGCTGTCGCCGCGCCGCGCCGCGCTGCTCATGGCCGCCGCCTTCCTGCTGCTGGCCGTGCTGGTGGCCGCGCTCGTGCAGCGCCTCGTCGAGCCGCGCCCGTGACGCGCGCTCGCGGCGGCGCGCCCGCGCGCGCTCGCCCGCCTCTAGCCTCTAGCCGCCTCCCTACCCGACCTGAGTACACTTAACGACATTTCAAGCGAGTGTATAGTTAACCACGAGGATTTGGAGCGCTGAACTTCACTAGCGCAAATTTATGGGTTTGTTCTACGCTACACGACCGAACTGATTAAATGAAACACATTATGCCATTCGCACGTCGAACCTGAACGTATCGATGATTTGTACGATTGTAAGCGAATTAAATCGATGCGACGCAGCGCAATAGCATTCGTAACAAGTCCTACACGGATCCCACTGTCCAACTGGTCCAATGTTCGTTTAGTAATCTATATTAATCATGTAATTGGTTAAAAAAATATTGCGCCATCATGTCATGCGAAAATTCTATAACGCTCGAATTTCGTGCCGACGCTCAAGATACGTGACAGGCGACTTTTGCACTGTCGATTAGAAATTGAAACATAGTGATAGTGATGGATCTATGAGCTCGCCGTTACATTAAATGGATCGGCAACCGTTATGTCGGCCTTTATAAAGTTAATTTCATATTACGAATTTTTTCTACTTTTTAGAGCGCCATCGATGTTTATATAAGGAGCGCATTATAATTAACATAAATGAACGTTAATATTTATTAGGAGATAAATCTAAATGTTGACAATGTATTTGCAATGTATCTTTAATTGTCTATTTCTATATGAGCATATGGGAACAGTCATACTTGCTCCCAAGTTTAACATTCATGGGTGCGATCATGACAGGTTATGATTTAATTTTGTACAAAAGTTTTCCTTCAGTTTAATGCACCACCATGAAATGTACCTTAAATGTTATTTATATGTATATAGTAGTTAATCACATCAGGGAATGTAACGTAAACGGCACGAAGTGGTAGAGCTGTCTTACCTATATATATATATATATATATATATATATATATATATATATATATATATATATATATATATATATATATATATATATATATTACGTGTTTTTATTTTAAACATAGAAATATTTATTAGATTTTATTTCGATCAGATGTATTCAAGAGATCACGTGTAAGCCGATCGCGTGCTACACGGCCTAGCACACGTTCATACATAGACGATTGTTTATGCGTAAATATGAAGTTGCCATTAATGAGATGTATATTTTTAGGAAAGTGTTACATTCGTGTCTCCCATTTGTTGTTTACAAACTCTTTATAATATCTAGTCTAATATGAGAACTTATCTTTCGTTTTACTATATTTCTATTTAAGCAAATACGATATTCTTTGTAGCCGATGAAATGTATTTTACAATTTTAATGTTATATAATATACTTCCAGAATAATTGTTCTTTAGTCTTCTTAGCCCTGTGTTCTCCATAAATTCAATATTTTTATAATGTAAGTTTCGCATATTTTTATCATATTTAAGTATATCGAGTTAGCAACCATGGTGCTCTATTATTAATGTTCTGTTCAGAGGGTCTTGGCTCCTCGTTCTGCAACGATTTTCCAGTGTGTGTGCTGTGATCACTTCCTTATGCGAATGAGACTGATTTTAAAAAGTTATATGCTTTCTGTCTATACAATTGATTTTGATAACATTTTGACATTGATCTGTATGTACGCTATTTACATACTAGCGATTGAAAAATGCTAGGGCAGAGCTCTAGGTGGTCGCCGAGATATGTAAATAGTGCAGGGCCGCTGCGAATTTAATATAAAAAGCTTATGTGAGCCTACACCATTGCAATCAATATTAGTTTGTTTTTATTAATATACATGACCTTATATTAATGACATTATGTAATGTAGCGTAATTTGTTTATTAATTTAGAGATTACCAATTTAATGAGATTGTTACCACCCGGTATAAACTTATCGAATTCTACCAACTGTGGGAGGAGTTTGCTTCTTTTATACATGTTATAGACAATGGGATCCCATACTGGTAATTGTTATTTCATAGATTTATATTAGAATTGTTAAATGAGGTCGATCTAAATATAATTTTTAAAGTTAATTAATTTCAATGTAGATAAGCAAAATATTTTTCAATTATATTCATTTGATTATTATTGAGATATAGTGTGATTGAATATATATATATTCAATCACACTATATCTCATTTAAAAGATTTTTATGAGCAAACGTCATTCAATTATAATATTATATAAACATATGTTACTATCACATAGGCCTTATTGCATTCGATGTTTTATAGCTGGAGCCGTCGCTGTACCATATATTATATTCGTTTGTCATAGACATATGGAATTTATTGTGCATCAATGTAGGCTTAATTACTTCGTAAATATATAATATTTACTTCTGTGATCCGCTTGTCCTATTCTATTTTTATGTTTATAAATGTTATTAGAAACATTCCTACGTTTTTGCTTATCAAGATGTTAGATGGAAATTGTTAAATGTTTTTCTAGAAAAATTCACTTCGTGCCTATCTTCACGTGGCATTATATCGGGTCGTAAGCACAGCTTACGATTTTATAATGGACTGTTAATTTTCGAAAATTTTTAAGTGACGATGTGCAATTAACTATTTATTTATATCGCTTATTATAATATTTATTTTTAGAATTTATATCAATAATCTATTGTGTCGTGTAACAATAAAGGAATCGATGTTCCTAAGTGAGTTTTACATATTGTACAATATCATAATCGCCAGCTAAATTGTGTACTGCAGTCAAGCATTCCAACTTTATTCCACTGTAAATAGGCCTAATGAATTCTACGACTTAATGTACGTACATGTTGCTTTTGTATGGAAGTGTAAATAAATCAGATGTTCACGAGCTTTGTGTTAGGGCATCTATACACTATACACTATTTCGTGCGCGCCAGCGGGCTCTACTACCGCACCAAGACTAAATGTTTTAATTAATGGAAAATAATTAACGGGGATAACATCTCATATTGTATTTGTGTTTTAATTAGTAACGTATAACGAAATGTATATGTTTATAATATAATATTTGATGATGTTATGTATACAATTTATTAAACATGAATATATCAATAAAACTATATTTTGTGTATGATGAATGTTTAATTTTCTTTCTATAAAATCACAATCATAATTTAAATTGTAAGGATTCCCTTGCTTAAAACACTAATACAAAAATTGCTCTTATTAATGAAATGCATACTTAAACCTATAAATAATTACGATCTAGACGACTAGAAAACTTTTGTACTATGAGTATTGTTTTTTTGCTTCTTATACTTACATGCTTATCCTATACACACATGACATTGCTAACAACTCCTATAACATAAGACTTATTGAAAATGAAAAAGAAATGTGAGGAAATGTTATTTTACACTATGACACAATTACCTAATAACTATTAGCTTACATTAAGCAAGTCAACTGATACTTTACAGCATGCACTGTTATAAAACAAATTAAAAATATTCCTTCACATAACTGTCATTTTCAAAATCAACATTAATTTTTTTTGAACTGTTGAAGGTCCTTCAACTCTATATCGCGTCTTCGTCTTTGTGTTGTATGTCTTGCTCTTGTCACGCCTGTCACCTGCACAATAGTTTCTTTTCGATTGATATGTAACATAAAATAAAAAATAACGTTAAAACCCTAATTCTGTATTAGATTCGTCACTCATTATAAACGAGTGATTCGACAATCACTCGTTTATAATATAAAATTGATAAAATCTTACATTAGTTTTCACTTGCATATTTGAAAAAAAAATTAATTGCAGGTAACTTTATGTTACATAAATTGCAAAAGATTTCATATCTTTCTACGATATTTTAGAAAATGTCGCAAATTATACAAACAAAAAGTACTTAATTCCTGCAAGTAATATTAATATAGATATGACAGTAAATTGTGTGACAGTAATCGTGAATTCAGAAAAGTTGATAAAGATACAAAACCAAAATATAATTTTTTTTGTTACATAAGAGATCAATTTTAAAATTATTAAAAAAAATTAAAGAGCCGAAATCCGGAAAACAAATCAAAATAATATTTTGTTTGTTGTTACAAAGTTTTGTCACGTTCATAATGATAAATTTACGTGTATTATATATCATCAATTTTTATTTATATTTAGGACATTAACTGTTTAAAAATTTATATTCAAAAACATTTTTTTTTTAAGTTTAGAAAGTAAGTATATTCGGCAGCTGGTATCAAGGTATTAAAATATACATCTATCCAATTGCCAATTGTTCCCAATTCTATTATAAAGTTGTTGGGAAAATTTGGCACGACTTAACGTTTTCACTGTACAATTCAGAATAGTTGCTGATATAAGAACCCTCTGTCGTTGATATATGATCAATGCAGCCTTTGAAATTTTGGGGGAAATTTTTTTTTGCAGCAAGATTGTCTTCTTCGTTTACTCCACCTGGAAAAATAATGTCAATGGTGAACGTCTTTCGACTCTGGGATAGGCGTCATAATTTCATGTTACTTCAAAGGGATGAAAATCTTTAAATGCATATAGATTATTTGATAAAACATAGGCCTAGTTCACACAAGATTTTGTAGGCTTGTACCCAGCTGTGATATATATATATATATATATATATATATATATATATATATATATATATATATATATATATATAGGCTGTGACTTCACTTAACTAGACCACAGCGACATTTTGCTGGTTCTTAAATTTTATACGTAGTGTAGCCATGCTGCAGCTATATTAGTAGTATAGTTGTAGCACGAATGGGTCGGCTCGACCGGGGAAGGACCATGCTCTCACAGAATACCAGCGTAAAATAGCAGTTTAACGCTGCTGTATTCCGTATGGTGAGTGTAGAGAACCGGAGGCCCTTTTTACTGGAACTAAGATGGAACGCCTCCTGCGTTCCATCTTAGTCCTCAAGGGTGACAACGCATTTGCATTTTGATTCGTAATCGAGGAGAGATGTAGATGTCTATGGGCCACAGCAACCACTTACCATCAGGTGGACTGTGTGCT